TTGCAAAAATAATTTTAGGCAAGCTTAAGTACATTTATGTTGAAAGGTAAGGATAGTTAAGTAAAAGTTACATTCTAATAGCACTTAGACAAAAATAATTGAGTATATACCACAGGGCCTGCATCATTGTCAAGACCACCCCCCCAACACACACACACAAAGACCGAGGAGGAAAGGAAGGGTCAGAATAGCCTGCTATATGAGTGGAACATAAAATGATAAAATGTGTACTCAGGCTAGGGTACAGCAGCTGTTCACAGTCACAATGATAGTTCACTGCAGCCTTGAACTCTGGGCCTCAAGAGGTCCTCTTGCCTCAGCCTCCTTAGTAGCTACCTTAGATATAGTTTTTTATATACTCTCCATAATAATTCCATCTATGTTAAAGAATGAAATTAAAAACCCACTAAACAAATGTATAATTATTGAAAATACCAAGGACATGATTAGTGATAGGCTGCTTTCAGTATAGGAGACCCAGCAAAGCATACTCAAAAGATAATGAGAAGACTAGCTGAACACAGCAGTCAGGGTATGAACGTGTAGGCAGGAAATTAGACAAACTGAACTAAGACTCTGTAAGGCACTGAAAACAGGAGTTGAACTTGACCTTATAGAAAAGTGATTTTCAAACTGGTTTCAGGAGCAGGGTACCCCCAGAAATTAACTCAGGAATTGCTGTGGGTAACAAGAGTAAGGACATGTGAGCATGTACATGACTGTATTGTTCAATACTGCTTTATGTTTTACATACAGTAAAATTTTTATACAGAATAAGAGTCCATGGTAAGATTTTACTTGAATAAGCCAGTTTCTCTGTTAACATTTTTTAAAAATCTTTGGCTGTGGACTGTGGGAAGCACTGAAAAAAACACAAGTGAATAAGACAGTGTCTGCATTCAAGTTGCTCAATAATTCCATTTTGTTTGTGGTCTACAATTGTTACAAATGTTACCTCGGATTCCTACAATAACTTTCCCACTATAACCAAACCATGTTCTTTCATCCTTTAAAACTACTCTTGAGAGCCCCCACATATACTTCTGGTAACAGTCACCTGCTCCATATTGTAATCTGCCTTCAAGGACTTTAATCCTGTCTGCCATTCATTCTCACCATAAACTTTTTAAAAAAATGTCTTGCCAGAAATCATACTGGAAGTTTTCATGCATGCTAGATCCAGGGTTCTTCCTGAACAGCTGGATTGTCTTTCGCTGTTCTCTTCTTTCACTGCCTCAATACCTAAAAACTCAGCCTACTTTCTTTCCTCTCAGGAGATTCCTCTTTCACTTCATCCCTTAAAAATCTATCCTCTGCAAATAGACGAGGAACACAGATATACTGCAGAACATCCCTCCACTGGAGCCTTCTACACAAATATACACAATTCTATTCAAGGTGCTGACTATCAAACATTTTCTGTATAGAGCACACCTCAGAAACATAATACCTCTATCAATAACCTTGCCCCTCAAATCAGAGTTTAACAATAGGAACAAAAAGTGTTTTTAGTATTGAATATTTTTATTCATCACTAGGATGTCACGTTTTTCTTGGGTTACCTATTTTGTTCTTAGCAGTTGTTTGTTTGTTTGTTTATTTATTTATTTTGGAGACAGTGTCTTACTCTGTCACTCAGAGTTGAATGCAGTGGTGTAATCTTGGCTCACTGCAACCCCCACCTCCCAGGCCCAAGCGATCCTCCCACCTCAGCCTCCCAAGTAGTTGGGACTACAGGCACGTGCCCAGCTAATTTTTTGTATCTTTGATAGAGCCCAGCTAATTTTTTGTATCTTTGGTAGAGATGGGGTTTCACCATGTTGCCCAGGCTGGTCTCAAACTTCTGAGCTCAGGGGATCCACCTGCCTCAGCCTCCCAAAGTGCTGGGATTACAGGCGTGAGCCACCACCCCTAGCCTGTTCACTTCTTTTTAAAGGTAAATATACAATAACCCCAAAATTTAACTAGAGTTCATTCAACTGATACCCAACTAAAACTCAGAGTCCAAGTGCTAAACCAAGAGACTGAATCAAAGGTAATCAAGAATGCTATCATTTATAAAAGTATTTATAAATTGCTTCAAGGCTGTCTTGAACCTTATTAATTTTATATTACTTCTAATCAAAATTAGGCAGCTAAGAATCAGAAAACTTATATTTTAATCACAACCCAAAGTTATGTGTATACTCTTGAACAACTCACTTAGATTAAAATCTAATTTTACTTTAGATTATTTTAGTTACTCATTTGTCTATAAATGACTAAAACTAATACCCATAAATGTCTTCTATCATAAAAGGATTATGATACTATCATGAGATTAATTCTCCAAATAAATTTATTTACCTTTTGAGGCTGATTTGTGTCCCCCACCAAATTAGTATGTTAAAGTTTTACTCCCCAGTACCTCAAAATGTGACGTTTTTAGAGACTAGATTTTTGAAGAGGTAATTAAGTTAAAATAATGTCATTAGGGTAGGCCCTAATCCAATGACTGGTGTCCTGATAAGAGGAAATTTGGACACAGACACATATACAGAGGAAAGACCACGTGAAGATACAGGGAAAAGATGTCCATCTCCTAGCCAAGAGAGGCCTCACAAGAAACCAACTCCACTGATACCTTAATCACAGACTTCCAGCCTCCGGATATGTGAGAAAATCAATTTCCATTGTTTAAGACACCCAGTCTGTGGTATTTTGCTATGGCAGCCCTTGCAAACTAATTTACTGACTTCTTAGGTGTGCAGGATGCTACGACAATTTCTGAAGCCATCTACTCACTGTATGTTTATTAAATTTTATTTTTCCTGAGCATATCCTACTCAATTAAATCATAGAGATAATTTGTATTTAGTTAGTTAGTTATTTTTTGAGATGGAGTCTCACGCTGTTGCCCAGGCTGGAAGGCAGCGGCACAATCTCAGCTCACTGCAGCCTCCGTCTCCCGGTTCAAGCAATTCTCCTGTCTTGGCCCCCTCAGTAGCTGGGATTACAGGCATGCGCCACCACGCCCAACTAATTTTTGTATTTTTAGTAGAGACGGGGTTTCACCATGTTGGCCAGGCTGGTCTCGAACTCCTGACCTCAGCTGATCCGCCTGCCTCAGCCACCCAAAGTGGTGGGATTACAGGCGTGAGCCACTGCACACGGCCAAGGTAATTTTTAGTTTCAACAATTTGTGAGGGCTTCATTTCGAAGTGTAATGACATCACAACCTACCTAGAAGATCATTTGGCAGATAAGTGGATAGTTATCTTTACATGGAGGTTCAGTAGAGTCTAACATAACAGAATTGAAAACAATCCAGATGTCCAACAATGGGAATATGGTTAAATAATAGTAATAATCCAGGCAAGGTACTGTATACTTAAATAAACTATTACTTATTTCTGAATCAAGATGAATTGCATGACTCATTGAGAAAAAGAAAAAAAAAAAGCCATGGCACAGCAGAGAATCAAACTTACAATGCTTTAAGAGAAAAAAAAAATGTTTTAAGCCGAGTATATAAAAATTATTATGGTTTATACTAACTACTAATTACCAGTTCTAATTATTATATGCCATAATCACATTATATTTTCTTAGCTCATAACTCTTTATTTCCAAACACTAGATCAAAACAGATCTTTAAGTTGCATGTGGATTTGCAGAAAGAACTTTTTTAAAGATTAACTTGCTATCATCATTAGCATTTCATCCCTTACTTCATTCAGCAAACCTACCTTTAGGAATTAATAAGAAAATCTCTAAGGAAGTAAGAAGAGCAAAAATATTTACAGATTTGAGCAAGAGCGTATTTTTAGTGAACTGTTACAAGCTACTTAAGTGTCAGACAACAGGAAACTAAATAAATTGTGGTGTGAGAAATTATTTTATGGTACTTAAAAATCATAAACTAGAACCCTGGTTTTTTGCGGGTTTTTCTGAGATGGAGTCTCACCCTGTCGCCCAGGCTGGGAGTGCAGTGGTGCAATCTCAACTCACTGCAACCTCCACCTCCCGGGTTCAAGTGATTCTCCTGCCTCAGTCTCCCAAGTAGCTGGGACTACAGGCACATGCCACCACACTCAGCTAATTTTTGTATTTTTAATAGAGACAAGGTTTCACCATGTTAGCCAGACTGGTCTTGAACTCCTGACCTCAAGTGATCTGCCCACCCTGGCCTCCCAAAGTACTGGGATTACAGGAGTGAGCCACTGCCCCCAGCCAGAACCCTGGTTTTTAACATTCAGAGGATCACACATTTTGAGAATCTGATAAAAGCTATGAACCCTCTCCCCAGAATTACACATATATGTATATAACCCCGTATTTTTGCATATAATGATAGGAGGTTTACAAATAATTAAAGTCTAAACTACCTTAAAAATCCCAGTCTAGAAAAACTTTCATGGACACATAACATTTCTGGTATATTGTTAAATTTCTAGAAAGCAAAGGATAAACTAGTAGATGCAAAGAAGAAAAGAAATATGTGTTTGTGTCTATGAAAAAGGACAGCGACCAAATTATTAAGCTTGGTTATCCTTGGATAGTAAAATTATAGAAAATTTTTATATTACTCTATAATTTTCTATCTTCTTATTTTTTACAATAAACTAATTATATAATGATAAAAGAAAACTTAAGAGTTACAATTTATTTTAGCCAAAATAAAATTGTTATTAGTCAAGTGACAAAATAGAGTAGGGTCATGTAATGATAATTTTCTCAAGTTTTAAAGTATATAATAACAAGCAGATAATAAATGACTGATAGTCACTGATAATAGGGTACTTGTGGATGACTTAGATCACCTTGTAAATGTGTAGACTGGAGAAAGGCCATGGTAAATATTTCCTATTTCATAAAATGCCACAAAGTTAATCAATCACAAGCAATAACTGAAGTTCTTTATGAATACAAAACTATGTTTTTGCTTTTAGGCTTCGGGATATGTTCAAAGTGTCTAAAATAAATTTATAAGGAAATAAAGGTCAGAACAAAAAACTTACATTTTCTATTGTGTATCAACAGAGCTTCTTTCAAATCTATCGTTGCTTTTCCTAATAAAGCATCTGCTTTTAAAGCGTGACGGCTCCAAACTCGAAATTCCAATGTAGTCTGTGGTGTAACATTTCTGGAAGGGTAAAATTATAACAAAAACACAGGAGCAGACATCGTCATTCTATTAATAAGTAACAATTCCTATTAAACCATTTATTTCAGTAATGTTTTAAAGACCATGAATTCCATTTATTTGAGAAGAAATATTGTATGAAACAGGAAACTACTTGAATCATAAAAATATTTTACTTTCAAATACATTAGGACTTTAATAACTAGATGAGGATTTTTGGAATTAGCAAGCCAAAACACCAACACAAGAGTCTTACTGAGAGTTCACAGTAACACTGTTTCTATTTGAACAAATGTCTGAAGACTTACATAATACTTTTACTATACACAAATTTATGCCATTATTATTTTGAAATGCCAAAATTAAGAATGACTAATATGCAGTCCTACTTATTTCTGTATCAGGTCAGAGAAAATGTCTATATGGAAACAATTTGGTTTATAAAGCAAAAGCAAGCATTATTATGCATCCACTCCTGAAAAATAATTTAATCAAAAATTTCTCCATACTTTAAATTGTCGATCTACACTTTAAAAAAACACTCATTACTTTGAAGTCATTTTACAAAATTAAAAACATATTCCAAAAAACATACTTTCTTGTGAAGATTTTCCATCCTTTATACAAGGTACTTACACAGTTAGCTGTTCATCCCATTTTGGATTAGAAGAACTACTGGATTTTGCTGTTTTCGTAATTTCTCCATCTACAGCTACTTCTGTATATATTGCTGTTGCGAACCAGTTCTTTTTTCTTTTAAGTTTGGCACTAGAAACTAACAGACAAATAATTCACTAGTGAGTATGTGCTGCCAAAAAGCAGTACTGCGCACTAATCAATCAGTAAGAATGGAATTGTGATTCTTGTGCAACTAGAACCCTTCTCATTGGCAGAATGAAGGAACAATACAAAAGGGCTATTGATAATGCCTGAGAGCCATTTGAATGTTTCCAAAACAGTTTTATCGAGCTATAATTCACATACCATATAATTCACCCACTTAAACTGTACAATTCAATGGTCGCACTATATTCAGAATGCACAACCATCACCACAATCAATTTTAAAACATTTTTGTTACCACAAAAATAAACTCGATACCATTAAGCAGTCACCCCCTTCTTTCTCCTCCCAATCAACCCTCTCTCCACCCCCATCCCTAGGCAGCCAGTACCCTACTATCTGTCTCTTTAAATTTGCCTATTCTGGACATTTCATATAGATGGAATCATATAATGTCGGGTTTTTTGTGACTGGTTTCTTTTACTCAGCATTACATTTTTGAGGTTCATCCATATTGTAACATGCACCGGTACTCCACGCCTTTTATTGCCAAGTAACATTCTATTATATGGGTATATGACATTTTATCTATCATCAACTGATAAATATATGAACTGCTTCCACTTTGTGGCTATTGTGCATAAAGCTGCTATGAACATTTGTGTGCAGGCTTTTGTGTGGACGTAAGTTTTCATTTCTCTTGGGCATATGCTTTGGAGTAGAACTCCTGGCTCGTATGATAACCCTCTGTTGAGTAACTGCCAGGCTATTTTTCAAAGTGGCTGCACCATTTTATACTCCTACCAACAATATATACTGATTTCTCCACATCCTCACCCAGCAACTGCAGTAAAGATCAAGGGAAAAGTGTCTTCAGATTCAACATGCCCATTAACACCCTTGCCAGGTACTATTAACTTATCTTTCTGAAATTACATAACTGTGGCATTAAAAAAATGTTTTAATGTTTTATCTGGAAAGTTAGCTTCGAAAAGAAGAAAAGCAGTATTTGCATTTTCAAATAAAAACTTAAAAATCAAAATGTCATTATAAAAGTTAATCATAACCCCTTCCAGAAAGTGAATTTTAAATCTAACATACCTGACATATGAAGTAATCAGGGACTATCTACTTTCTGGGCAAAATACTGATGACCAGGCAGTAAGAACAACTTATCAAGATCACCTCTATAACCTCTGACCTATGAACACCCTAGGTCAGAGATGAGGAAGGGAAAAGCCTCTTTCATGTCATACACAACTGATGTTAAGGATATAAAAACAACCAAAGCTATGTAAGCTTCCATTCTATTGTGAGAGAATAATGATCTAAATAAAGAGTCACACAAATAAACCACTGAAATACAATGTGATAAATGCAAGATGTAAAACAAATACTATATTTAAGTACTGGCAACATAGCAATTAAAGAGTGTTCAATGTTATGTCTGAACTGCTACTATCAGGGTCTTAGCAAAACTCATTTCCATCCTTCACGGTTCCAAACTGCTCTAAGTTCAGTGTCACTGAACTAACACAGAAGGCCCAGACTTGCTCTCTCCCAAGAACTCCCCAAGATTCTCTGAATAAAAGTGCTCATATATTTCCTCAGTATATGTAAGTCTTATCCATATAGTAGAAGACTAGAAGAAGGAAAAGTCAGTATATGATGGTGTTAAAAGCAGAGGGTTAGATATATCTGGGTTCATTTTTCAACTGCGCCACTTACTAAAAGCCTGACCATAGTAAGTCAATTAATTTCTCCGTCCTTACTTGAAAAATTAGAAGAACAGCAGTACCTGATTCTTAGGATTGGTGAGTGAAGGCATGCAAAGGACTATCACCATCAATGAATGCCTGGCATCCAACAATGGTAGCTGTTACTCTATTACTACTGACTATATAGTATTAACTCTTCTCTGAGTTCATTGCAGATCCATCCAAAATACGTCCACTGAATACCCTTACTTGGCAAAATACTCAACAATACTAGAGGATAAGGTAAGAAAAGAGATTTTGAAAAGATAATAATCTTTAATCTCATGAGGAATTTATAAATATGCTAGCAAAAATGTACATATAAATATAATACTGTGATTTTAAATAACTAGAAGACAATCTTATTAATTCAAAAAGTTGTTCTAGTTAGTAGAATATATAGATTTTTTTTCCCATTTAATGAATTTCCTTTGGTGTTATACACAGACTGTCCTCCACCCTAAGGTTATATAAGTATTTTTAAACTATCAGAAAATGAGTCATGTGTGGGAGGGTAGGGAGCGTTAACTTTAAAATCCCACTGACAATAACGTCTCTTCAAAAAATCTAGTAATGAACTTAATACGTAAGAGTCACATGAAGAGAACAATAAAACTTTACCAATAGAAACAAAGACGTAAGAAAAATGATATGATATATTCCTAGATTTGAAAAATTTAACACTGAAATATTTCAATTAGCTCCAATTTAATACATTATTTTAAAATAAAAACACCAACTGATTGGTTTTGAGTGTTTTGGTGGGGGCAGAGGAAAAGGAGGGGAGACTTAAATATTCAAACAAAAGCCAAAGAAAATTCGAGAACAGTGAAGGTATATTTTAAAATGCAAAGTAATAAAAGGAAATTTATCAAAATAGTCTTTTAAAAAGCACCATAAAGTGAAAATAATTAAAATGGTTTGACAGTGATGTAAAAGAGAAGTAAAGAGAACAAGCAAGATACTAATGCATAACAGTGGCATTTCAAATCAATGGGAAGATAGATTAGTCCATAAATGTTGAAACATTTGAAAAGAATGAAGTCTATAATTCACACCACTCATACAAAAATAAGTGGCATATGATTTGGCGTTTTTACTTTAAAAAATGAAATTAATGCTCTAGAAGACAAAATAGCTAAAAAAAAATTATAAACATGAATATAACATCCCATTTGTTCTTCAATCTCATCCTTTTAATATATCTTGCACACTTTATGCTTCTGACTCTTTCCTGTTGAAAGTCTAAAATCTAAAATATCAAAGATAATACACTTCTATATGCTACTATCCTTAAGTACCTGGTACATTACACTATATCACCATATGACAATAGGTAGTTTTCTGTTTTATTTTTTCCATCAGTTTCCCTGCGTTCCATGATCAATGCTCTTATTCTTATAAGTTGCTGCCAATCAGATAAGGGTTAAGAACAGAAATGAGGATAAGAGTAACTATGCTAATAATAAAAATAAATTAGGAGATTTTAATAATTCGGCTTAGGGCAGAGTAAGTCAGTTTACAGACAATAAACAGCCAGACTGCAATATTAGAGGGGTCTTAACCTGGTTACTTATTGTTTTTAAAAAGAAAAGAAAAGCCTGGGTGTGGTGGCTCACGCCTGTAATCCCAGCACTCTGGGAGGCCAAGGCAGGCCGATCACCTGTGGTCAGGAGTTCGAGACCAGTCTGGTCAACACAGTGAAACCCCGTCTCTACTAAAAATACAAAAAAAAATTAGACAGGAATGTTGGCATGCAACTGTAATCTCAGCTACTTGGGAGACTGATGCAGGAGAATCACTTGAACCCAGGAGCGGGAGGTTGCAGTGAGCCAAGATCGCGCCACTGCACCCCAGCCTGGGCAATAGAGCAAGACTCCATTTCAAAAAAAAAGAAAAATCAATACAGAGGTCATTGTAATCTAATAAAAGGAGAAACAACTTGGAGTCCTAAGACCTCTGTTAGTTTCTCATTATTAACCCAAGGCACTTAATTTAATCCCTCTGATTCTCAGTGTCCTCAATGACAAATCAGGAGTCGTAATCTTTATTTAAGAAGTGATTGTGAGATCAGTAAGACTGGGAATTTTAAGGTGATTTTTATTTTAAAAATTAGATCAACAAAACAAAAGACAAAGACAAAAAGAAAAGAAGGTACTAAAACCTGGTACCATTTAGCACAGGTCCATGATCATTATTTCCCAAGAGGATCACTGTATTTCAAAGGAGAGCAGCAACTGATGCTCAAAATTATAAATACTGTCGTGGCATTGTTTTGGTTACTTAGACTCCCTTGGTCCACATCTATTTTCCAATTGGTTCTCCAGATTTGATTCACCTGATAGCCTTTCAATAAGTTCTTTTTCAGCTCAAATTAGCCAGATCAGGTTTTTCTTTTTTCTTTCTTTTCTTTTTTTTTTTTGAAGAAAAGAAACAGAGCCTCACTCTATTCCCCAGGCTGGAATGCAGTGACGCCATCTCGGCTCACTGCAACCTCCACCTCCAGTGTTCAAGTGATTCTCATGCCTCAGCCTCCCAACCAGCTGGGATTATATGCATGTGCCACCATGCCCGGCTAATTTTTGTATTTTTAGTAGAGATGGGGTTTCACCATATTGGCCACGCCAGTCACAAACTCCTGGCCTCACGTGAACGACCTGCCTTGGCCTCTCAAAGTGCTGGGATTACAAGCATAAGCCACCATGCCCAGCCTAGGTTTTTCTTACTTTAAGAACTCTTACACATAGATCAAGATAATTTGAAAGTTAAACTTCGGGTGTACTGTCCATTGGTCCTAGGCAAGTTACAATGAACTGAAAATGTAGTGAAAATAAGGCTCTAAGTTTCTTATACAGAACAAAAGTAAAAGGAATTATGTAAGTGGTTCTTCAGTGGAGTACCTATCAGCTTCATCAGGAGAACTGTTTCAAAAATACATGCCCATTATTCACAGAAAACAAAATACAAATATCCCTTATAGTTCATCCTTACTTACAGTGAGAGAAATGCTATTTAAATAACACTAAGATACCACTTTAGTATCTAATTATGAACAATCCCAAAGCCTGACAATAGATTTTGGTTAGGCTTTGGGAAAACAGGCACTGTACAGCTGGTGTAGACACAAAATGGTACAGGCCCCATGGAGAGGAACTTGGCAATACCTAGCAAAATTACATGTGTTTTTACCCTTTGACCCAGCAATCTAGGATCCTATCCTATTGATACATGAGCAGAAATAATAAACAACTTTTGTATGAAGTTATTTGTTGCAGCACTATTTGTAATAGCAAACAGTGGAACTCCAATGTCCAGCAACAGATTAGTTAGCTTTTTTACATCTATTCAACAAGGTATGGTGCAATAATAAAAAAGAATATTCTGTCATGAAACAAAGTCCAGAATACTATAAAGTTAAAAAAAGCAAAGCACAGAAAAGTATGTAAGAATTAGGGGATTAGGAGGAGAGATGAGATACATATACTGAACACATATCTGCTTTATTTTCAAAAAGAAGCAACAGAAAGATAAAGCAAAGCTAATAAAAAATGTGAACCTACAGGGCAAGGGAGAGAAGTGGGAAAATGGGACCAAGTAGCCAGACCTCTCTGAAGGTACCTTGGTTTTGACTCTGGGACTATGTAAATGTCTTACAAGGTTATAAAACAAAATTAAAAAAACAAAACAAAACAAAAAAAACACTGAAAAAAAAAATGAACTTAACTAATTATCAATTTAGTGACATAACCAAATAGAGAATTCCTAAGGTACTTTAAAACATGGTATTTTGATTATACATCCTAAAGGGGGAAAATGCACAAAAAAATCTTAAACTGCAATGAGTGGACCTATTGTTTTTGGTAATTTTTTTAATTACCTTTTTTTCCCCCTTTTTTCATCTCCTCCTTCCTCTGTTTTTGGTAATTTTCATGTTATTTTGAACTGGTGTGGTAGGATAAAACAGATAATATGATAATGTCATTTTGAATGAAGATTTTTTGATCAAGAGAAGAGAGTTACAGGTCAGGCACTGTGGCTCACATCTGTAATCCCAGCAATTTGGGAGGGTGGTGCAAAATGATTGCTTGAAACAAAGAGTTCAAGACTAGCGTGGGCAACATAGTGAGACCCTGTCTCTAAAAAAATTTTTTTTAAATTAGGCAGGGAAGGTGTTGAACGTTTGCAGTCTCAGCTACTTGGGAGGCTGAAGCATGAGGATCACTTCAGTCCAGTAGTTTCAGACTACACAGTCCAGTAGTTTCAGACTACAGGGAGGTATGTTTGTGCCACTGTACTCCAGCCAGGGAGAGAGAGTAAGACCCTATCTCAAAAGAAAAAAAAAAAAAGCTATAAATATAAAGTCAAATTAATTTAATTTTTTTTCCTTTTAGTAGAAAATGGTACTTACAGACTACAGTTATTATTATGAATTGGAAATATCAGCATGAACTAAGGATGTTAAAATACTTTTTATTTTTTGCTTTCTACAATAAACATTTCCTAGCTCTGTTAACTGAAACTTCCCAGAAACAACTAACCTTACAGTAATGAGTACCATAGGAACTACAGCACTGTGTAATCCCACTTAAATATTTGCCCAATGATTGAACAAATGACTAAATGTATGTAAGAAGGCCTTTAGCATCCTGCTCCATCCTATTAATCATTTAAGGGTCAACTCAATGATACTTTTCAAAAGCCCAAATTCTCCCACCATTACAGAGGCTGTATCTTCTCTTCATCCAGCATAGGTTCAATAAATACTTACTGAATAAATAGCATACTTTTGGAGGGCATCTACCTTTGAGGCCTATTGCAACAAATACGCCATAGTATGAATCTAAAAGAAATTATATTTCTGGAATAAGTCTGCTGAATTAGGTATTCAAAAGAAAAGTTTATCAGGGAATCACCATATTAAATATAAAAATAACTTACCAGTTACTTGTAACTGCAACCTTCCACTGTGGTTATTACTAGTATCAGACCTTGGTGAAGCAGTGGCCATGTCCCAAAATTCAGCTAAAACCTATTTTTAAAAAAGGGAATTTATTCATGTGTTAGATAAGAGTTAACAATTTTCAAGATATTAAAACTACTTTTCAAATCAACTAAGAAGTTCTCAAAAAGTACAGGGAAATTATGAAGCCTATTACCATCCCATTAAAACAAACCCTAAAGTTCGTTGAAATAACAGAAAAAATGGTGAGTAGTAAGCAAAAATAAAAATAAACATTAGAATGTTGCCCTGGATATGCCTGCTGCAGGAACGCTGGGATCCAGAGACAAAGCACTGGGCCTGCTACAAGGGGAAGGAGCTGAGATTCCCATACTAAGCAAGGGCCCAAGTCAGTAGAAACTCCTAACATATGGCAGAAGCATATATATATACATGTTTTAGGAAGGTACCCCAATTTAAGCCATTGGGAGTACCCAAGACGAAGACCAACCAAGTCCGAGTCTATAATCTTAAAAATCAAATTTATATGAAAACAAGCCACTAGTCTGGGCAACAGAGCGAGACTCCGTCTCAACAACAACAACGAGAACCTTTATCCAAACAAGACAAAATAAAACTCACAATCTACATGGGGTAGGTGGGAAGCCTCAAAATACAGTAAAAACTACAGGAAAAAACTGACAACTCGGCCATTGTTGTGGATGATTTCAACACATCCCAATTAATCATAAGTCAAGCAGACAAAAAATAATAATGAACAAGCAGGATTTAATAACATCAACAGAACCTCACAACCATTAGAAAATAAAAATTTTTCTCAGGTACTCATGAGACATGAGTGACATACAAACAAACATACACTGAGATACAATGAAAAGCTCACTAAATTTCAAAAAATGTTCTACGTCTCTGTCCGTAATACAATGAAGTTAAAAATCAGTAACAAAAGATAAACTTGAAAAATACGAATAGAATTTAAAAACACTTCTAAATATTTAATGAATCAAAAGAAACCATGTTGGAAATTACAAAAAAAAACCACTAAGAACTGAGAAACAAAAATACCACATATGAAAATGTATGGGAAAAGTTATACTTAGAGGCAAATTTATAGCCTTAAAGACATACTAGGAAAGGAAAGGTTGAAAACTCATGTGTTAGTAGGTCATCTGGTAAGTCTGAAAGAGAAAAACAGAACAAACCCAAAGAAAGGAGTTAATAAAGAGCAGAAACTAACAAAGTAGAAAGAAGGTAACAGAAAGGATCGACAAAGTCAGAGCTACTTCTTAGAAAACACTAAGATAAATAATAAACGTCTGATAAGACTAATGAAGGGGAAAAAAATGAAACAAAATAGGAAGCCCTAAAACAGACCGACGCATGTAAGGACATAGCCATGTAAGAGATGTAGCAATGCAGATCCACGAGAAAAGGGGGATACTTAAATAAACCTTTAATTAGCCATATGGAAAAAAAATGACACTGGACCCCTATTGCACATCATATATAAAACCAATTCAAGATGGACCAATGACATAAATATGAAAGGGAAACAGTAGAACTTTTAGAACAAATTACAGCAGAAAACTATTGTTTTGTGTACTCCCAGGATGCAAGGATTTCTTAAGTGACAGGGGCATACTAACCAAATAAGAAAAGTGTGAATATTCACACCTGTAATCCCAGCACTTTGGGAGGCCAAGGCAGGCGGATCACCTGAGATCAGGAGTTCAAGACCAGCCTGGCCAACATGGCAAAACCCTGTCTCTACTAAAAAAAGACAAAAATTAGTCAGGCGTGGTGGTGGGCACATGTAATCCCAGCTACTCAGGAGGCTGAGGCAGGGAGAATGGCTTGAACTCGGGAGGTGGAGGTTGCAGTGAGCCGAGGTCACACCACTGCACTCCAGCCTGGGCAACAGAGTGAGACTCTGTCTCAAAAGAAAAAAAAAAAGTGTGAATATTTTGACTACATGGAAATTGAGACTTCTGTTTATCAGGACATCATAAAGAAAATGAAAAGATATGCCAGAAACTGGAATAAATTTGCAAAACAAAAAACTAAAGATTAGTATTTACTACTATATAATACTTACAAATAAGAAAAAGACAACACATTAGGCAAAAGGCTTAACTGTAATTATATAGAAAAGGAGATTTCTAAGGCCAACAAAGATGAAACAATGCCAAATCTCACTGCCCATCAGAGAAATACAAACCACACAGATGTCATTTTTAAATTCATTAGAATGGTAAAAACTAGGAATGTTGATAGTGCCAAATAATGGCAAAAAAACATGCAACAGTGGTGGCTCTTATATACCGCTGGTAGGCATTTCAGATGCCAAAATCCTGTTGGAAAACAATTTGGCATTATCATTTAAAGTTAAACATTTGCATGCCCTTCAATGAGCGATTTTGAATTTTATAAAATTTTTGTACCTGTGTGCCAAGTATAAGCATTCTTCATAACAACAAAAAAAGTGAAAAATACTCAAATGTCCATTGGTAGAAAATGGTTACATAAATTAGGCTAATTCATGCAATGGAGCATTATACAGTAGTGAGAAGAATGAACTAGGTGGGGGTCGTGGCTCACGCCTGTAATCCCAGTGCTTTGGGAGGCCGAGATGGGTGGATTATTTGAGGTCAAGACCAGCCTGCCCAACACAGTGAAGCCCTGCCTCTACCAAAAAAAAAAATAATAATAATACAAAAATTAGCCCGGCGAGGTGGCAGATGCCTCTAACCCCAGCTACTCGGGAGGCTGAGGCAGGAGAACTGCTTAAACCCAGGAGGCAGAGGTTGCAGTGAGCTGAGATCGTGCCATTGCACTCCAGCCTGGGTGACAGAGCAAGACTCTGCCTCAAAAAAAAAAAAAAGAATGAATATAGCTATAAGCAACAACATGAATGGATCTAAGAAAAAGAACAGTAAGTAGAAAAGAAAAGAAAAAAGACAGATGAGTTCTGAGCATTAACACCTTCCTCTCAGTTCTGTCTCCAAGATTTAACATTCTACACTGAAGTCATAAGAAATTCTTCCAACTCCTAATGACAAAGAAGAAATGAATTCTTTTGACAGTTATCATGACCTCATCTTTTGTTATTCATTTCCTTTGAAAACACCATGATTCCATGATTGAAAAAGAAATCCAGAAATGTGGGGTACTGTGGATCCTGAGCCTCAAGAGTTTGACCAACGAACAATTACAGGAAGCCCAGTAAAGAACTGCTAAGGTCCAAACGGCCACCAAATAACAAGCTGTCAGTCTTCCAAGGAGTACTCTGTGAATCTCATGGTAACATTTCTGCACACAATAAAGAAACTAGTGTACAGAAATGTTTATTTGTCTATGATATAGCAATATCCACAGAGTCCAAAAATAAGTCTTCACAATTATTTTCTGGTTATAAATTTGAATTTGCCTATTGAGATATTTCTGTCTATTTTTATGTCTGCTCAAACATCTTTTATGATGTTTCAATGCTTTCCTTGAAATGTATAAAGATTTGTAAATTAGATTTTCCTCTATAATAAAATACCGTACGTGCAAGCTTTAAAAAGCCTGCAAACATGATTATGAAACTCAAACAATCATATTTGTGGTATTTTAAAAAGAAAAGATGGAAACAAGTTCAGGATAGCAGTTACTTTAGGGGCTGGGAAAAGGTAAGAATATGGAATCAGAGAGGTCTTCACAGCTCTTTAACCACACTGGGATTGACCTAGTTCTTCGGTTGAGCAGTCGGTTCACAAATGGATTTTATTATTGACTTCTATGTGTTACATATAATCTGGTACATTCAAATTACATGGGTTTTTTTTCTTGTTTAATTTAAAGAATGTATGGAAGGCACGGAAGTAGACACAGTAAAGTATAAATCACTAATTAATCAAGTGTGATTACTGGAGACTGTGATGCAAAAGAAGGACAGATACAGCTTTCACAGATGGCATTTAGTCTTCCAAGAAAAAGACACTTCTTCCTCTAGGCAGTAAATGAGGGACTTAAGGATAGGTGAAGATATTGATTCATTTGGAGGTAGATTAAAAAAAAAAAATCAAAGACCCTTACTAGGGAACTAAACACAAAGACAACTACTGAGAATAAAGGCAAGAGGCATAGATTACTTATTTGAGAAAAATCTTAAAAGTTTACAATACCCTGGAGACGCGGGAACAGTGCCAACCAGGTAAAAAATTATTCACTTTATTACATGAAACTCTGTGTACTCTGATCCCCACCCCCAATCTATTTTTCTCTGTATTCTATATAAACTCTTTGATATCACCCAATCCCCAGACTCAAGAGCACATGTTCTGGTAACCAGTAACTGCAAATTTAAACTAAAACCATGAAAAATGGTTCAAAAAATGATACTACCTTGCCTTAAAAGGGAAGAGATACAGCAAATGAAATTATCAATTTCAACAATTATTCTCTACACTTCATTTAATAAAGTTATATGACACTTAAAAGATAATGTACTATCATATATTCTCCCATCTGAGCATTACAGTAACACTGTGTGAGGAGGGAAGCACTCTGTCCATCTTAGAGACGAGAAAACTGAGTCTCAGGAGTATCTGAGGTCTAAAGTTATTTTTTATGACAACATATTACTAAGTCTACATAATTATCGAAATATATGAAGTCTCATTATTAAATGTGGTCTTAGTTTAAAAAAATTGTTAATCACTTACTATGTATCAGGAACTGCTAGACACTGGGGATACAAAGATGAGTAAGACACGATTCCCTCTTTCAAGGAGCTCATAGTCTGTGAGGAGACAACCCTGTAAACAAATAAATAGCTTTCAGTGTGATAATTCCTAAAACAGATGCAAAAGGTAAAGTACTACATCCGGGGCACATAAGAGAAGGTAGACAATCCATCCTTCAGGGATCAAGAAAGGGATCACAGAGAAGATAACCTCTGAGGGAACTGCATCTTGAAGTGTGTAATTCTTCGAGAGAGAATTAGAGAAAGAATGGAACATCCAGAGAACTGCTTGCATAGTGCACAATGGAACATACGGAGAGTGTAATGTGATCAGGCAAACAAAGAGGGTCTAAACTGCATAGGATCCTATGTAATAGTTTATATTGTATTTAAAATATACCATGCATAGTACTTTAAAGTTTATCCTGATGGCTTCAGTGATGAGAATTGCATTTTGGAAAAATAACTTTGGAAGCTGTGGGGGTTAGATTTAAGATAGTGAGTTTATCTGAACTAGAGCACTGGCAGTATGAAAGAAAACACTGAGGATACATATAAGGTCTTTGACCAGATGGCTATAGGATGGCTGAGGGTTACAAAAAAAATAAGAATCTGAAAAACTAAAATTTCCCACTTCGTTGTCTGGGTGGATGATGGTTCCCTAACCAGGATAGAGAGAAAAGTAAGACTATTTGACTATTAGGGAAGAGTGCAGTGGGAAAGATTACTAGTGGGAGATTGTGAGAAGAACAGGACCCATCAAGTCCAGGATGGGGTCATATGAGCTAGTGAATGGAACGGAGACCCATTACGGATCGAAGTAAGACTATTTTTCACTTCCAGTTCTGCCACTTAAGAGCTGTATGACCAAGTTAACTTTTCCATGGCTCATTTCCTGTATCAGTAGAATAGGAAAAACAAAGTCATCTATCTCATGTTACAATGAGAATTAAATGAGATAATATATGTAAAAGACGTAGCACTTTGAGTATACAGCACGAAGTAAGGACTCAATAAAGACTACCTATTGTTTTTACTGTGGAAGAAGGAGGTTAAAAATACAAGTTTCATTTGGATATGCAGTTCAAAAGAAAGTTGCTGACAACCAGGTATAATAGACAGCTAGTTAGACAAGCATGCAGTCGAGGAAACAGGTCCATGGGGAAGAAATATTTTGGAGTCACAGTTTATGTAAGTGGCATTAACTTCCATGGAAGACAATGGGCTTGTTCACAGTGGAGATGTTTTGGAATAAATATTGAGCAGAATGAGAGAGTGCTGATCAACTTCTGCTGAGCCCTATTAATACTGTGCTTATCACAAGCCCTCAGGGACAACAATCTGCATAACGGTATGACTTTTATCAAGTTGTCCTTGGTCCCCAGCATATGAGAAGACAAAAAAACTGTATGATCAATTTAGGCTCAGGAATCTAGAAAGCAGGGTTGGCAAAAGAAAAAACGAAGTCTGAGTTTTAGGTCATAATCTACGCTCAGAGGGTATGGTCAGTAATATCTAAGCTAATTATGTCGGTCCAACCCTATGAAAATCCCCAGGCTTGTATAAAGGTTCACTACTATTCAACTGCAAAGAACAGAAAAAAGTCCTGAATGTAGATAATAAACTACATTTCCAGTACTCAGGTTATAGATCTATCAAATCCTCATTTAGAAGGTATATCTTAATTGCCTGCTTACTTCAAAATGTCTTTCTTAAGTCAAAAGCAAAATTGTGAAAGAAAGAAAGAAAGAGGGAGGGAAGGAAGGGGAAGGAAGGGGAGGGGAGGGGAGGGAAGGAAGGGGAAGGAAGGGGAGGGGAGGGGAGGGGAGGGAAGGGAAGGGAAAGGAAGATCCAATTCGAACAGATCTGATTCATTCTGCACACTCTGCAGTGTTAAAGCTTTGAAAAGTCAAATAAATACTGTCACATATCTATGTGCCTGGATCAATTAATAAACATACTTATTGGCTGCATACTTTATAAAGTGGGTATGGCAAGGATACAGAAATGGTAGAAGACAAAGTCCTGGCTTCAATACCGAGTCTAATTTTGACGACAATACTAATACACAAGAAAAAACTCAGTAACAAGATAGGATGATATGTAACAGAGCAGTTTAGTCCAATAAATGTGGAACCTAAAAGGTTAGAAAGCCTGCACTTAGGCAAAGCTATTTTATCAAGCATAAAATGTAAAACTCAATGAATGTGGCAAAGATAAAAATGGATGAACCATGCAGTCTCCCCCCTCAATATGGCTAAGATTCAGCAACTCTAAAGCATAAAATAAATATTTCATTAAAATGTAAACTACAAAATAGAGGATTAAATTTTAAGTTAAATTATATATAGGAATATAGAAATATTACTTCTACATAGAAATACTGTTGATCATTTCAATGACTTTATAGAATGAGAGAGTAAACAGGAGGGCGACCAACTCGTCCCAGTTTGCTCAGGAACATCAGGTTTTAATCTTGCATCCTGGGAAACCTCTCAGTTCTGGCCAAACTGGGGTTTTTGATAATCCTAGCGAACAGTGTAATGGCTCTAACTGCCTAGACAGCTCTTTTGATGTATCTCAAAGAAACTTTTCTAGTGGAATCCTGTTATAAAAGTATAATTCTGTTAGATTTTTCATTTCCATGCGACCTGCAAATTCAGAAAGGAAAAACCAATTTTATAGGAACGACTCATCACTAGGGCTCAAAATCATATCATTGGGACTACATGTCGGGAGAAGGGAACAGTAAGAGGTTTTCTCAATACCTTTCAGCCCTCCGAATCATTTACTTTTAATACACTCTCTGTCCGTATCATTACCACTGATCTCTCTACTCAAGGCATTTCCAACTAGTGCTACTGTTCTTCCCTGGCCCATGCCATCATCCATCATCCCCATGCCATCATACCCCATGCCATCGCAGCCTATGCATCTATGCCAACAACTCACCTGTCCTGTATCTTGCTGATCTCCGTTCCATTCACTAGCTCATATGACCCCATCCTGGACTTGATGGGTCCTATTCTTCTCACAATCTCCCAATAGTAATCTCTACCACTGCACTCTTCCCTTAGAATTGGTCTGCTTAACTCAGGAACTATAGTCTCTCCAGCACTCTCCCACACTCCTTCACTGTAGGGGCCCTACTGGCAATGTCATTAATACTTTACATTTGCATAGCACTTCATAGTTTCAACTTTTCACATGTTATGTCAAGAAAACAGGCTAAGTACAATTGTTTCCAATTTTACCAGTGCCACGTTAATATCACTTTTCACTTCTATCTCCCATTGGGCTTTTCTTCCCAGGTTCTGTCTTTATTGTGCCTCTGTCTCTACCTTCAAATAAACTTGGTGTTCTCAATGTATATATCTAACTATTTGGGAAAGAAGCTATCTAATTTCTTTTAAAGCTTTTTATATACAAATAGAGACAGGGTCTCACTATTTGCCCAGGCTAGTCTTTAACCTCTGGCCTCAAGTGATCCTCCCACCTGGGCCTCCCAAAGTGTTGGGATTACAGGCATCAACCACTATGACCAGCCAAAAAATTAAAGCTTTCTTGTCCACACTTGACCTCTCCCTATAAATATCACGGATTGATCCACTTATACTCAAAATACAAGAATGCCCCTCTTCTGATAATTTACAAGTGTGCTGCAGAATAGCACTTCTGAGCTGTACCATTCCAGTGACTTGAAGAGTACTTGCAATATCTACCAGAAAAATGACAAATAAACATGGAATCTACAGGTACTTGTTAGCCTCTGACTTTAATTTGGGTGTTTATTTTAACCTAAAAATGCCTATCTAACCACAGGATCTAATAATTTCAACTATCTTTCCTCCATCTTTCTGTATTTTTGGTCAATTTCAAAGTTCCTTTAAGTGTACAATATATGGCCCTTTAGGAAGTATTTCTATGAGAAAAATGTATTTTTCTTCAAAATGCCCAATTTCCTAAGTTAGTATGAATACCCAACTCTTACTATTCATTATCACTCAATTTCAGATTTTCAGCCAGAGGGAGATAATACATTAATTTTTAATTAACATTAATACATTAATTTTTTTCTGAGCCTGTTAGTTCTGTTTTCTCTTACTCTCTAATTTTTACAACTTCTTTTCCAGTAACATAAATCTAAACCTTGTTTCTTGACTTTTCTTTTTCAGATATATCTCACATCTCCCCTTTCATAAATGCAATCTCTTCCTATTTTTCAACCACTTCATTTTCTTATAGAAAGTGAGCTTCTATTCGATTGTATTTTTAATTTTTAATTTTACTTTATTTTCTTTCTTTCTTTGGAGGCAGGGTCTCACTTTTGTCACCCAGGATAGAGTGCAGTGGCATGATCATGGCTCATTGCAGCGTCTAATACTGGGCTCATGCCACCCTCCTGCCTGAGTCTCGGGGACTACAGGCATGTACCACCATGCCTGGTTAATTTTTTTGTTTGTTTGTGTAGACATGGGGTCTCTCTACACTTGACTCAGGCTGGTCCAGAACTCCTTAGCTCAAGTGAGCCTCCCACCCCAGCCTCCCAAAGCACTGAAGTTTTTTTTTTTTTTTTTTTTTTTGAGATGGAGTCTCGCTCTGCCGCCCAGGCTGGAGTGCAGTGGCCGGATCTCAGCTCACTGCAAGCTCCGCCT